GGTGTCCGACAAGTGTGCCCTCTGTCACCATTCCAGTTCAACTTTGCTATACACGCAATATAAGATGCACCTATACATACCTCTGACTCCTCAGGCATTGACCAACTCCCAAGAGGCCACCTGGTTCACTCATACTACGACGACGATATGATCCTGCCGGGCGAAGATACTGACTAAATGCTGACTCTTCTCGACACTTCGTGTGACAGTTTCAGAATACTTGGGATGCGCTTCTCACTACCCATATACAAACACAAGTCATACATGTGCCTAACACTAGGCAGTAAAGTGGTTGAGCGCGTTGACCATTCCACTTATCTCAGGAGTCAAATCAGTCCTCATAGGCCACTGAACGACGAACTCTCAGCAAATATGTAAAACGCTGGGTTCACTTTGACCAAACTACGCCATCTATAGCGCTGGCGAGATATCCAACAGCCTCTTGAGGATCAAACGTCATACACTGCACAGCAGTTCGCTCTTTCCATCAATTCCGCTGTGAAACCCAAATACAGGGTTATGATTGAAAGTGAAATGGAAACCTGAACCGCACCAGGATTCCAACCACCGAACTCCAAGTTACTAACCCAGTGATCTGTCAACTAATCAAATCTTCATATACCTTATGGATAATGGGTAAAAAATCAATGAAATCTGAGACATTAAAATCGAAGAAAGGTGATATACATCATGGACCGACTACAGTTGGAGAAGCACTGGATTTCGACCCAATCGATGAATAGTAAGATGTTCACCACAAGACTTCAAGGTTTTGGCCTTCACCCCTAGTAGAGTAGTGGATGCGTACTGTTGAGGAGTCCCACGCTAGAACAAAACACCTGGTGTTAAATACCCTCGGGTTTTCAATGGCTCATCACCTAATCTCAAAATTCAATTATAAAATTATAACAGACTAACACATTGTGTACCGTTGGACATTGAACTGAAATACACCCAGATAAAGTATTGAGATTTAGTTGACCTTATTCGTCTGCTAAGCATCTATATGGTATTTCTTGCACAAATTGGTTAACAGGAAATAAAATCTAATCGTTTTAGTATCATTAAGTTTTTTTCTTATAGGGTTTAAAGATATAACTTTCCCTTAAGAGTAAAATGGTAGTGAGAAGATTTTTATACTCTTCTTTCTTTCAGTCGAACAACAGAAATAAGAAATGAGCTTAAATTTATTATAGCACGCAAGCACATCGAATTATTTCACCATGTGAAGTCAGTCAATGTTGTAATTAAGCAAACATCACCAAACTCCAGAATCATAATTCATTTCAAACACTAATCTCTCTCTTTCTCTCTCCTATAACACAGATATGAATAGTAAGAAGTGAAATTTTATTCTGAACAGTAACCACCTTATAGCGTACCTGAGTGACTATAAAGATCCCCCCGAGTAGTAACTGCTCAAACAACCAATCAGGTTTGAGAATTTCCGTTGGGATGGTAGTTTCTTATAAAAAAGAGCAATGTAATTGGTTATCTTAGCAGTTGCTAAGGTAACCTTTAAAACCACACAGCGCATACTAACAACTATCGAAATAGTTAACTTTTCAGATGAAATCAAGTGAGTGAATTGGGTTAGTTCAATAGTTGCAAGGTAGACGTTTAAAGTCACTCCGTTCAAAGTACAACCTATCGGATATCATACACAGCAAGGTTCGCCTAGTCGCCGACTGTCTCGTCACACAATATTGGCCGAAGTAGGTTCAGACAGGAAAAAGGCCCTAGGCTCGAGGCAGCAAGACTAAAACATGGCATCATTGTATGAAGTGTTCGACTGTCGGTTCAAGCCATGTAGGGCGATTCAGATTAGCCAGTTGGGGTCCGCTGGACAAGAGGAACCAGTGGTTGGAGACTTTAGGTGATATGGCTCAGAACCGATGTCAATGGCGCTGATGTATACACACATTATCCTCATCTTAACCATATACCGACTATCACCATTTTCTCATTCTTCCTTTCTCTCTTTTAGTGCTTTATATCTCTATTGACTGAATTTTCTGTTCTTCATCTTCCACTTCACTGCCTTTTTACTTGAGGTGATGATATGAGGTGTGGCAACGCGAACCGTTACGCAGTAATGCCTGGTCTTATGTTGATTTTGATGATGATGACGATGCGATACAGCAAGGTTCACCAACCAGTAAGTGAAAAAAATATCCTTGAAAAATTTGTTCAACTTAAGGCATGAAGAAAACTGAATTACTTAAGATTCTAAGAGAAAATCTTGCGTATATTAAGGTTAGTAGGAATCCTCAAACTGATTTCAGTTTATGATGGATATCCCCAAGTTCTAATGAGAAGCCATAAATTAATAGGAATTATGATAATTTGGTTGGTTGTGGCTAACAGAAGAATCCACAACGCGCGTTTCATCCTATTCGGGACTCGTCAACTGGATGTGCCTGTACTACAGTAAGTCATATTGTTCCCAATAAGACCCGAACCTCGCACCCATCACTTCAAACGCCAAGCAGTTATCCACTACGCCACAGAGGAACGATAACCACTTCGTTTGTATAACGGGTAATAGTTATGACTATTTATTGACATACTTGTTATTCTCCGTTGTTTTGTTGAGTCGAATTGTTCGACGTCTATTGGCGTACGGGCTCCTATGTGGATGTCTGGATATTATCTGGATGTTAAATTATGATAATTTGGTTGGTTGGTTGGTTTGTTGATTGGAATCAAACTTGTCTAAATAAAAATGATGGGATAAAACGTGCCTGAACTAACCGTACACACAATTTTCAATCTGTAGTATATATATATATATATAAATATATGCATATGCATCTATATATATATATATATATATATATATATATATATATATATATATGTATATATATATAAATATATATATATATATATATATATATATATATATATATATATATATATATAATTGTACTCTGTAACAAATATAAAAATTATTTTTCTATTATTTAGCAGGATAAACAAGACACCAGTACGACAAGTCAATAAAACTCGCTTTAAACAATGCTTCATAAAGTTCAACTTCATAAAACTTTCCATAAGACCGATACAACAAAAGCACGCCGCAATCAAGCGCTCTGTACGCTACTAGGTTCTCCATAAATGCCGGCAAGTTCCGTGACTGAAATTATCAATCATTAGCGAAAGGAGAAGACATGAAGATAGGAAATAAAGCGTTTAAATCACAAATGTCTTCATAGCATTACTTGTATGTAGTGGAAACACAGTGTGAGCAATGTTGAACTCAGACCAAAGGGTACTAGGAAAGACAGACATGTCGATCAATGAGGTTGTGAAACTTAATCGACTTAGATAGCTCAGACATATAGTATGCATGCTGAGTCACTGCCCTCATCTATGTCTCATTCTACGGCACGAGGTTGCATTAAGTTGTAAGAAGGTTGAGGGTTGTGAGAACAAGATGACGACACCAGTCGATGAAGTCACTGACTACTAGTCTGATTTGATTCGTTTGTGAGGGGTACTCGAGACGAGTGGAATGAGTGGTTAAGCATTCTTGCTGACATGGCTGAAAATCGATCACAGAGACGCGGATATATTCACTCCTCAACATCTTCGAAAGCTTGAATGCTCACACTAACCTGTATATTCAGATTGTCGATTCTCTCACACTACTTTGTCTTCTTCAATATTACTCTTTTTCCATCCATCTGTTCCTTGTGAACTAGTGTAAAGTGTGGCAACTTGAACCGATGCACCTATGTGTGAAGTTCTACATGGAAGTGGATACCTAAACACCGAATTTCACATCCAACGTCTTAGTAAGATTATAGTGATGATTAGAGGAGGATTTAACACAACAAGCATACAAAATCGTCTTATACAATCTACTACAATTAATCAAATTTCATTGAGACTTATTGAAGTCCTTCATACATGAGTGTTGATCACCTTGAGGAGGATGGAGTGGGTGGGAGATGAATCGTCACTTGTGCAAATGAAATCAATCAGTAAGATCAGGTTTCAATCGAAGTTCAAGACTTCTCTTTAGGTCTATAGATGTGACAACACAAACATGACTGGTCGATCCCCTCGAGTAGCAGTCAACATCCAAGTGACGCATCCACATGAAAAACAACATTCCTATCAGAACATTTGGTTTACACCCTGTGAAAATGATCATTGTTGTCCCAGGACCCACCCAACTGTCAGACTCCAGCACATTCATCTTCACTGAGTAATTGATTCGTTGACTGTACTCACCTCCCCATGACTGTAAGAGAACTTTGTTTCATCCCATCTCGCAGTCATGGCTACTCATTTGAATGAAAGGAGTGATTCAATAATTTGATTTTTAAGGTAGTATTTATCATGGACTGAGATTAGTTGGAGAATCACTGAAAATCTGGGAATATTGGACAATAGCTGTTTTGTCCTAGAGTGGGACTCCTCTCAACAGTACCCACTCACATCCATGTTAGAGATCGAAATTACGATCTTCAGGTCTCACGGTAAATGCATCAACTGTTCAGCCACTGGGAGGAAGTTCAGTAGTTCACAGTTTCTTACTCCTGTCAATTAGTGATATAGCGCTACTACCTACCCATCTATTTAGGCAGCATCTTTTCAACTACAGATAACAAAGGTGCGGATGAGGATGTCAAAGTCAGAATCTGAATGACAGCAAGACAGGCGTTCATTATTCCGAAATAATCAGTGTGGAGATCTTCTGCACTGTACTGCACTCAGTAGAAAACATGAACTTGAGCTGATGTATAAGTGTCAGAGGCTCTATGTTGATTTTGTCAGTCAGTCAGTCAGTTAATCATTATTCCATTCAAACAGTGTATAAAGTGAGCAATTTTCAGTGTAAACTGAATGCATCTCTACATCAACATGGCAAAAAGGTTGGATGTCAGTATAAGATTGCATACAATAAATCAACACATAAATATCAAAATGTTCAATTGTGTAAGCTTGAAAAGTATACTCAATATTAAGAAAAAAACAAAATTTTTTACGTGACTGAAATAGGCGCATCCCCACTACGATTAGTATAGTTTACAATAGCATTAAAAGTTTGATTAAACCATTGCCAAAAGATAACAGCAGGAGTTGATCTAAAAAAAACAGTAGAATAAATATATACTTTGAATTACGTAATAATAAAAACTAAATTACATTTTAAGGTTTATGGTTCTTTAACTGATTTCACTTGGTGATGAATGCTACCTTAAAAATAAAATACTCATTATGTTCAAAATACACTATACTATACAGTGGTCAGATGGATATTCTGAAGTTCTAATGAGAAGTTGTGTGACCTATGGGGTAGGTCAGTCAGTCGGGAGTGAAGTGAATGCCAACTGAAGACATTTGTAGATTATGATTACTGATTATTTGTCGCTTGGGTTCCTAGTGGAACATAGGAATTCAGTAGCACGTCAGCATTTCAGTCTCTTCTCTGCAGTCTTCCTAATCTGGCTCCACCACTGCCCAGAAGCTTTCATTTCACTCTCACATATCATTTACTCCGTGTCACCCTCAGATGCCCAACTCGTCGTTTCCCCTTTGAAATTCACTCGACGGCCTGACCTGGCGAGTGATGTTTCCAGACCATATTTTCACTGTATGTCGAATCCAATCCATCTTTACTTTCTTCTGCATATAGGTTCTTAATTGGTTCGTTGTTAGGATCGACTTCCTCCCAGCTTATTCTTCCTGGTCGTCTGATCTTTAGTATCGAGAGCCAAGTCTCCAGACAGTAAGATAGAAGTACTGAATCGACTGACATAAGTATTGAAAATCCGGGTCTTGTTCACGCTTTATGCTGAGTGCAGTACAGTGCAGAAGATCTCCACACTGATTATTTCGGAATAATGAACGCCTGTCTTGCTGTCATTCAGATTCTGACTTTGACATCCTCATCCGCACCTGTGTTATCTGTAGTTGAAAAGATGCTGCCTAAATAGATGGGTAGGTAGTAGCGCTATATCACTAATTGACAGGAGTAAGAAACTGTGAACTACTGAACTTCCTCCCAGTGGCTGAACAGTTGATGCATTTACCGTGAGACCTGAAGATCGTAATTTCGATCTCTAACATGGATGTGAGTGGGTACTGTTGAGAGGAGTCCCACTCTAGGACAAAACAGCTATTGTCCAATATTCCCAGATTTTCAGTGATTCTCCAACTAATCTCAGTCCATGATAAATACTACCTTAAAAATCAAATTATTGAATCACTCCTTTCATTCAAATGAGTAGCCATGACTGCGAGATGGGATGAAACAAAGTTCTCTTACAGTCATGGGGAGGTGAGTACAGTCAACGAATCAATTACTCAGTGAAGATGAATGTGCTGGAGTCTGACAGTTGGGTGGGTCCTGGGACAACAATGATCATTTTCACAGGGTGTAAACCAAATGTTCTGATAGGAATGTTGTTTTTCATGTGGATGCGTCACTTGGATGTTGACTGCTACTCGAGGGGATCGACCAGTCATGTTTGTGTTGTCACATCTATAGACCTAAAGAGAAGTCTTGAACTTCGATTGAAACCTGATCTTACTGATTGATTTCATTTGCACAAGTGACGATTCATCTCCCACCCACTCCATCCTCCTCAAGGTGATCAACACTCATGTATGAAGGACTTCAATAAGTCTCAATGAAATTTGATTAATTGTAGTAGATTGTATAAGACGATTTTGTATGCTTGTTGTGTTAAATCCTCCTCTAATCATCACTATAATCTTACTAAGACGTTGGATGTGAAATTCGGTGTTTAGGTATCCACTTCCATGTAGAACTTCACACATAGGTGCATCGGTTCAAGTTGCCACACTTTACACTAGTTCACAAGGAACAGATGGATGGAAAAAGAGTAATATTGAAGAAGACAAAGTAGTGTGAGAGAATCGACAATCTGAATATACAGGTTAGTGTGAGCATTCAAGCTTTCGAAGATGTTGAGGAGTGAATATATCCGCGTCTCTGTGATCGATTTTCAGCCATGTCAGCAAGAATGCTTAACCACTCATTCCACTCGTCTCGAGTACCCCTCACAAACGAATCAAATCAGACTAGTAGTCAGTGACTTCATCGACTGGTGTCGTCATCTTGTTCTCACAACCCTCAACCTTCTTACAACTTAATGCAACCTCGTGCCGTAGAATGAGACATAGATGAGGGCAGTGACTCAGCATGCATACTATATGTCTGAGCTATCTAAGTCGATTAAGTTTCACAACCTCATTGATCGACATGTCTGTCTTTCCTAGTACCCTTTGGTCTGAGTTCAACATTGCTCACACTGTGATTCCAGTACATTCGAATAATGCGACGAGGATATCTGTGATTGAGAGGCTGTATTTGGTTCATATCTTCTGGTTTTATGAATGGCCGAAAACTTTAGCTACGCAACATGCCGAATACCCTTCTTACGGATAGTGGTGTAGTGGACGTTGCTGATGAGAATGGATACAGGTAGTATATATTGGGAGGGTGGCAGAAATCATAGTGAATTACCAGCAATCGGTAAGGATTCTGCCAAGAGTAACGAAAGGCACAAGGCAAAAGTGTGAATAGCAAATCAAACAGAAGGGGAAATGAAGCGCACTTTTCAAATGACGGTTTTAATGCAAGTTGTAACATACTTTACAACTACTGTACCACTTTTTAATAGACATACCTTCCTCCGTCTCTGTCTTCTCGTTACCTTTCAACTGGTGTTGCTGCTTCTGGAAGCGAGGAAGATTCTGTGGCCTACAGTGTTCGAGGGTGGAGACACTAAGGTCTACCTCAGGGACCTCGAGTCCGTCGCGGAGCTGGTGGGTGTCCGGGATCCAGGAGCGATAGTGGTGGTACTGAGCACGTTGCTGAGGGGTAGAGCGAAGGCAGCGTATGACGGCGTGGGACGTGGAGGTAGGAAGAAGACTTGGCAGAGAACGGTTGAACGCTTGGAGGCGGAGTTTGACAGCCCAGAGGACAGGGAGTTGGTGATGCAGCAGTTCCTGAGCACGAAGCTTGGAATAGACAAAGATCCGCAGCTGTTGGCTGTGAAGTTGAGTAAACTACTTCGACAAGCACTTCTCACGTTGAATGAGGACTCCCAGGAGCTGTTGCTGGCTGCACAGTTCACCGAAAGCTTCCCGAATGCCATCGCTCAGCAGCTATGGCTAGTCGACGGAACCCGACCCATGGATATTAGTGAGATGGTCAAGGTGATCAGACAGCTAATGGGTATAGCAGTAGCTGCAGTGAAGTCACCAGAGGTAAATAACTGGAAAAAACAAATCAAAAACCTCCAGGAAGAGGTGGCTGCACTTCGAATGAATATCAACAGACAGAGTAAATGCTTTGAATGGGGAAAACCTGGACACTGGTGAAGAAAGTATCCGGAGAAGCGAAAAAGAAAACATTTTGAACGATATAATATGAGTTCTTTTTTTCCGACTAGACTGGATATTATAGGAGCCATAGATAGAGGTGTTGTATATGCTAGAATGCGAATAAATGATTGGGGGCGGCAGTCTCTCTGATAGATAAGCGTCAGTCTCAGAACATAAGACCATGCGTGCTAACGGTTCACACGGTTGGGGTACATACACTGGAAATCGCAGGCTTATCACAATGCATCATCGAGATTAGAAGTTGTAAAATTAGATTTCTATTCATTGTGGCCACGTGGCTACAAGAGACAATCCTGGCAGCGACGCCAATTGAAAGAAAACGAGAAGACAGAGACGGAGGAAAGTATGCCTATTGTTAACAAGTGGTACAGTAGTTGTAAAGTATGTTACAACTTGCATTAAAACCGTCATTTGAAAAGTGCGCTTCATTTCCCCTTCTGTTTGATTTGCTATTCACACTTTTGCCTTGTGCCTTTCGTTACTCTTGGCAGAATCCTTACCGATTGCTGGTAATTCACTATGATTTCTGCCACCCTCCCAATATATACTACCTGTATCCATTCTCATCAGCAACGCCCACTACAGCAGTACCGTACAGGTGGATTGGTTGTGTCTTATTTTTTATGAGTCAGTCCTATAGAAAGTTTTATTAAGATGAGTTTCTTCTAACGCTGTTTGGAGAGAGATCGGTTCACTTGTCGTACTAGTCTGACAAGAATACGAATCTCAGGCATGACACCAGTCCCATCGATGTTGCAGATATGCTTTGCTGACAAATGCCAACAAGTATGAAGCCTAGACACAGGGCTCCCTTCTGATTGCTTCCAACCAACTAACTCACATTTAATATAAACGCAAGAAGTATGTTTTCCTAAATTTAAACTTTCATACTTTCGATTTGGATAAACTGTCTTCATTTCAATATTGTCTTCTAGTCTCAACAACTTGTTAAATATCGTTTTGTTCACCCAGCAACTAGATTATGCGTTCCAACTAACTGTACTCGAGAAACTCAATAGTTGTATAGTATGATAAATTTTAGAAGGATATATTGTTATCCCGTACTTAGTTTCTCCCCTCCCTCTCTTCTTACAACCATATTCATATGGAAGTGATTGTCTAAACAGTTGAATAGGAAGTGATTATTATAATGAACACTACTGAAGAAAACGAGAGGACAGAGACGAAGCAAGGATGGATTATTATTGACATCTTGTACAGTAGTCATCAAATATGGTGCACATTGTACTAAGAAAGTGCTTTATATAATGTAATTTATTTCCTCTCCTGCCTCTATTTTGATTTGCAGCAAATACGTCCACACTCTCTATAGCACTTCTCTTGGAGGAATTCTTACCCGTTACTGGCCAAACCTTCATCAACTTCATTTAAAGGCAGCTATATGACGATGATGATGCTACATGCCAAGTGATTCATGATGGAAAGCTCAGTGATGACTTTGAAGTGAAGACAGGAGTAGGACATGGTTGCCGCCTACTATCATAGATAATCTTCCGGATTGTAGTGGACTGGATCGTACAAGAAACCGTGAGGAGGGAGAAGATGGGTGAAGGCTGTTTGACTGATGAGAAGAACCCAGAGGAAGATTTGGATTTCGCCAACGATGATGATGATTTATGTCTAATATCGCACAAACTCGAAGATGTACAGTTGAAAACCAACAAGTTGGCGGAAGAGGCAGCGGAGATGAGCCTTCAAGTGAATGTAGAGAAGACAGCTGTAGAGGTGATGAAGATACCCAACCAACAACAACAATAAGCAGCAATCACCATGAATGAGAGAAACCTAAAAGAAAGTAGTCTCTTTCACGTACCTGCCTAGGCAGCATCGTTTCAACTACAGACGACACAGGTACAGATGGGGACATCCATGCCGGGATCGGAGACAGCAAGACAGGTTTTCATTTTCATCTCGTCAACATACCTCTGATAAACGTTTACCTTTAGTAAGTGAATAAATGAAGATACTCAGCCAACAATGGCATCAACAAAAAGAGGAACCAATCACTATGAACGGTAAAAACTTAAAAGAAGTAGTCTCTTTCACCTACCTTTCTAGGCAAGACAGCATCGTTTTAAATACAGGCGACACAGACGAGGATGTCAAAGTAGTCAGGATCGGAAAAGCAAGACAGGCTTTCACTGATCTGAAATCAGTGTGGAGATCTACTACACTCAGCACAAAGGCTGAACATCATCCGGATTTTCAACACTAATTCAGTCAAGTCAGTGCTTCTATGTAATGGTTCAGAAACTTGGCGCGTTACGAAAAGCATTCCCAACAAACTACAGACACTCATCAACAGCTGCCGCCTACGCTTGCTCGCTTGCTCTATACTGAAGATCAGATGGCCAGAGAGAATAAGCAACAAGGAACTCTGGCTTGCTGGCTGGCTGGCTGGCTGGCTGGCTGGCTGGCTGGCTGGCTGGCTGGCTGGCTGGCTGGCTGGCTGGCTGGCTGGCTGGCAACGAACCAAACAACAACCTACCGCTGAACAAATATGCAGTGGAAGGAAGTGGAGATGGATTGGGCATGCACTGAGAAGACTGATTGGGGACATCACGCTTCAGGCCAGACCCTCGAGTGGAACCCAGATGGGAAACGACGAGTTAGGCGTGTGAGGTGAGGGTGACATGAAGGTGATGGTGTGTTGGGAAGAAATGAGAGCTTGTGGGCTGTTGTGGAGACAGGTTGAAAAGATTACAGAGAAGAGAGTGAAATGGTGACGTGATACTGAATCCTTATGTTCCACTAGGAATTCAAGGGACAAATAATAAATAATAGTACGTCACCCTGGAATAGAGCTTTATACACACACGGATTCTGTAGTTATTATGTTTTGGAGCATAGATCCTCTAATGTTTTGGATACATATGCTTATTCAAGGTTCGTGTTATCCTTATTTCAGTACACTCTTATGCGATAATTTTTGTACTATAGGTAGTGAGTGAAATTCACAAGTTCATGAGTATTATTCTCTTTACACGACCCTGCAAACCTAGTGAAAATGTGCAATAAAGATTATCTAGGTTTGAATACAATATTTAGATAGTATAACAGTTTATTTGACTGAAACAACTAAATTACATGGCATCCTACTGGTGCTTTTTTCCTCTTTACAACCGTACCTATAGCATAAATATGTCTGTGACATCCCTTACAAATTCACATGAAGATGTACTGTTGACCTATAAAATTAGTGGTAAAATGTCTATGATCTGTATAGAATTTTACAGTATCTTAGTCAAGTTTTCAGAATAAGTTATAACTTATATTAGCAACTGAGGTGATGACGTTTAGTGTTACACTAACACTAACCTATAAACAACTTGCAACAATCGAAAATTTCATTGTTCTTGATATTCACATTACTACATGTTTTGTTCCACTTAAATTTATTGTTCTAAATTGTGAATTGGTGACATTCTCTACATTAAGCTTTACATTTCTACAGTTCAATCATATCTTCATAAAGATAAAAATATAAAAACTTTTAGGCGTTTTTCCGATTCGTTTATGAAGTGTTAACCTACTAGTAATGACAGAATGACAGATAACCCAACTGTTACAGCTTCATTGAGGCTACTATGCCTCTTGTAAGTGCTTACGAATGAACAAAAATAAGATACTTACTTGTAGAATTGCAGCAAACAGCCTGTTATAAACATGTTTCCTGGTACTTGAAATGACATACGTCCAATCAATATCATTTTTTCGCCTGTATCCGGATGAAATGCTGAGTCATACACGTGTTTAGCATGCCAAAGTTTTTCAACTGTTAAACCGGGTTGGATAATCCCTGCTCTTCAATTATACATCAAAATAATACTGAGATACTGTGTACCTATAGTTTTGAACAATAGTTCTTGCCTCTTCTAACTCCGTAGATGTTTTGAACACATTCAAAGGATTAGTTGTAATGAAAAAGTGTTTCGCTCTACCAGTATATGTTGACTGATCATAACGAGGCTTTTCTATATTAACAGTTTTGCTATGAACCAATTCGGACGACTGTGATAATTTTTTTAGAAAAAGAAATTTTGACTCATTATATTGTAAGAAAAGGCTGATAAGTGTACGAATAAATTTACATTTTAATTAGGGCAGAAACTATATTACAAAATCCGTATGACAAATCTTCGTTTTTCAAAATTGTCAAGATGATTCTAGTTACTCAGCCGTCTTATCAGAAGCTTACTGATGTGATAACAGCATATCACTAAGTAAATCCCAAGAAACAGTAAAATAAACGTAAATTGAATAAGCATACATACATCCCATACGGCTTTGCAATATTGTCTGATGGTTCTACACAAGTCGGTTTACTATACATCATACTCTAACAACTAGTAACAACGTGATTGATAATTTACGTTTATCGTTTTTCGCTATCTCTTGTAGTTTTTGAGATTTATGGCGAGGAAATGTTGAACCATGTTCATACCCAACTTTATAATCCACAAAACGATATTCCTCAGGTTTGCATTGAATTTGCGCCACTCCTTCTTCCTTCAACATTAATTTTTCATAATTCAGCACTGATAAAATGGAAAATGATAGTGGAGAATACTGTTTATATCGTCGTTACGGTGTACATAAAACTCAGAACCAAGAGCGCTAAAGTTATAAAAGCAGGTTATTTAAACCATACGTATCACAGTGAATTCAGCTGAAGACCATTTGTGGTAGTTGATAGATCCATGCCTCAAAGCCTACTTACAGCCCAATAGGAAGCAAAATGAAAGCCCATAAGATCCTCATTATCAGGATTGATTGCTGAAGCAGTTATACAGAGGTTGAAATCCTCAGTCATGCATCACTCTTATCAAACCGAAAGTTTGGATTTGGTACGTTGATGATATGTTCGTAAGTCTCATGGGAGACAAAGTATAAAATACATTCAAACCGACTAGCCAAATATCTGAAGAAGTTCAGCTTACAAAGCAGGAAGCCAACTACATAATTCTGTTCTTAGTTGTCCTCATCAGCAAAAAGTAAAATGGGGCTTTTCAAACACAAGTGTGCAGGAAAACCACACAAACTGATCGAATTTCAAACTAAAACGGCAATCGTCTTACGATTCACGTGAAATATCGTGTACAAACTATACTCTCAAAAGTAAAAACAAATAACTGCATTTGAGCAACAATAAAAACAGAAGAAACACTAGTACATAGCTGGAAACCAGTGATTACCCACTGAACTTCATCAAAAGGTGCTTGTAAAGGCAAGTAATTCCCCAAAATCAATAGCCTAGGGTCCAATGAGATTTGACACTGATGCTAACCATTATGGTTTTAATGCACTGGCTAGGCTGAAGGCACATGGTCAAGTATCCACGCCAATCGGCACTTTCAGGTGTTACGTTGGTGGTACGCTATACTCTAGCCAGTCAGTCGAAATGTATCAGTATTTTGGCACGATCTATTAAATATACCACCAAGTAGTGTTCTTTCTTGACCTCATACTTGCAGGTATTTTAGAAGTAAGGAGAGAGTGATTGGCTCCGGAGTCTGTCAGCTGCATGTAAGGACGATTCCCAAATGCTTATCAGCAGAACAGGTGATAGTGTAATCATCTCAAGCCAATAACCGCGTTACTCTACCTCACTTCCTTTAATATCGCTAAATTTTTGCATATAGTCTTGAGTGATCTTATTTTTTTGTAAGAGGATTTATTTCTCCGTAATGAAATGAGATTGATTAAGGAACATATCATGAAAAAAATTGAAAACTTCAGGAACCATCCACAAGGTAGACGTTTATTTCGCAGTTTACTTCAAAGAATGCCCCAAGATTCAGGAGTGCACTTGGATTTGATGTCGTTTGAGAAACCGCGCCCAAATCGTTTATGTTTTTAATTTCACTTGTCTCACAGGATTGTGAACCAGCAGGAGTGCAGTTCACATACAGCTTACATCTCCCGTTGGTACTCTCCATGCAAAGTTATATTTCCTTTGTACAACCAATAATAATAGGTCACTATCCTAATATCCTTATTCCTGAAGACTCAAAGCCCTAATAAGTGGTCACTACCCTCTTGTTAAAAAATGAATACACCTGCCAAACAAAGCCCAGTCAAACACAAATGCTGAAATAGTGAGTGTGAATGCGTAGATAATGTAGGTCAACGCATTGATTAAGAATGCTGAAATAATGCTAAAATGCGGCACTTGAGCAGGGTTTTATAGACTACCCACATAATTTATGCACTTGTAGAATAATTTAAGCGTGTATGTGTAAACGCAGCTTCATTTACGTACAATTCACCCCTTATTTCAGCACTATCCGCATTATTTCCACGGTTCAGTGGAGTTTTTGGACGCAGTTCCTTTTACTTACGCCTCGTTCGTAATATTAACCCCATTTACTCCATTATTTACATATTCGCCCGCATTATTTCCTCAATATGGTTTGACTGGGTGGGAACATCCATAAAGGTTAAAAATATAGTTTCTGTAGTAGATCTCAGTGAGACGCATGAGTTAACATGTAGGTTTTCTGAGCACGGTGTTGTGAAAACATTAATGCACGTAAAGTTTGCCTGGATCCATCCATTCATGCTTAAAGACATTGAAATTGATGCTTTGAAGCATCCAAAGATGTGAAGAGGTCAATGCGGATCAGATTAAAGCATATTTATGTTTGGTTTACGGAGTTTTAGTCCCTTAGAATCTAAGTTCTGGTCGAACTACAGATATTATTCTAAAAAATTTATACATCAGAATTTAGGATTTCGGCTGAATGAGCGTGTAAAACTGCTGGAAATGTTATAATTTCTGTAATATGTGTGATTATAAATTATTCAGAACTGTGCATGAATACTTGCATTCGTGTTTATGTATATGCTCACATGAGCATATATATGTGCCTTTATATATCATCCTCCGTTTATGCAACTACCTTAAGGTTCTGTTCATTCTGTCCAAACTAACAACTAAACGGTGCTAAGCTGAGAGAAATACTTGAAAACATACTTTTTGAGTAAACATTTCACGAAAGGAAATCGAAAAATCCTTGATATTTCGAAAATAGAACGAATTCCATCGACCTTGAACAGGTATCCACCACTTTCAATTATTGTAACCAAAATTCGGACCTAGAAATTCTTTTTAGATGTAATTAAGGATCAACTGATTTTTATTCTTTGTCTGGTTTTGCAAAATCCGACTGCAATTAAACGTCACAGTTCTTATTCCGGTACAGGAAAGATTCCCGTCTTCAGGTTTCGGCGTTACGGAGATTGAGCCAAGCGGCTTAATATATCACTTGTATTTTTCAATTACCTATAGACCTAGTCTCCCTGTCGAAGTTTCCACAAGGAATGCTGAAATCGTACTCTGAAGTAGAATAACTTCGGAAATAGGCTTCTGACTTCTAAGCAAGTATAGGCCAACCACCAGCTCACCGTAGTTACCGAATATCTACCAGTCCGAGATCAAAGAGAACATATTTGGGCAACTAGCCATGAATCCTATATATTTAGGATGTTCACGACAAACTGAGGCTCATGAACCAGTCGCATCGCAAATGAGCAAGGCCAAGTGACACAGCAACGTACCGATTGGGAAAGATGGTTAATTATGCACCTTTAGCCTAACACATCAGTTGAAACTATAGAGATCGGTATCACTGTTGAGCAGTATTTCTGTCAGTGAAATGTTTGATGCCAGAAAACTATGTTCGGCCTCAAACCTTCCTATTTTTCGAGGGAATCTTTACGATCAAACCAGTCGAGTACTAATGAGCTCATCGGTCTCACCTATCGTAGTTTATCTATTCATGTACAGAGTGAAATCATACCCATTTGGCTGCTGGACTATGCGAAACAAAGACGAAGCACTTGGTCTTGATGTCTGCTAAGAAGGTATACGTTCAAACAGATACTTCTACTCTGATTCGCTTCATCCATTAGAACCTGGGTTACGCGTCGCCAGGATTCTGTTGAAGAGACCACAAAGGATGCCAAATAAGGTGAAATCCCAGAAACCAGGTAGGTAGTTCGTCCGAGAAGTTTTAGAACGAAGCGGGTGTGCAGTACAGCTTAAGCCTTGCATTTGTGTTCATGTCCTTCTGCAGCCAGCGGAAAGGTGAGTTAGACATCCCATGAGCATGACAAACATTAATGGCTACGACAAACAGTTCCAAATAATGTGCAAGGAGAAGGTGGAACAACTTTACTTCATACCGTTCCACCTACCTAATCCTATTGCATACTGTTTTGTTGAACCGTCAACTTGACCCTCTTTTTCATGCTACATGCATTCTCAGAACCACTATATATATATATATATATATATATATATATATATATATATATATATATATATATATATATAACGTAATCCGCTTTGTTACCATTCATGTTTTGACTTTAATCTTGGATATGGGGACCTTAGACGTCAGCACAATTATTGTTATCACCAACTACTAAACATCTTTTCGTTTTCAAGTGTTCACTTTTCCAATACGGAAATTTATTCTTTCTCTTCCCTGATGACTCATCACCCCCAGTATGTTCCCTATAGACAAACCACACATCCCCAGCCTGTTTTTCCCAAGTGGAAAAATCTTCCTCCGACCGAATTGCTAATTCACTTACCTAAGCTACATTATCCTTTGTCCTGTATTACCATGTGGCTGAATAGTTACATGGGTCACCTTCTCTAACAATTTTGAATATCAGCTTGAAAACTTACTGTTAGATTCATACTCTTGAAAATAATTTCTCTAGAGATATCGGAACGTCAAGGAATAATGCAAAACATGTGCTTATTTATTGTTTTCTAACATACCTCGCTGGGATGACACAAGTAAAATACATCTTGTACCAGGAATTATTGAGTTTGGTTTAACTCTTTATTGATTTTGGCAAGTTACTTTCCGTGGCAAATGTAACTGATTCGCACTTTCATTAGAAAAAAAAATCCCGAAATTTAAATGAGCTGACCAAGACTTTAATCGGCGATAACCTCCAAGGTGACGGCACGTCATTGTTCTTATAGTTGTGCGAATCTCCATGACCGACACGCATGACTACCCTCTTATCAGTGTGTGACACCGGCTACTGACTTGTTCACCAGCCAGATTATGCACCCGATTGTTTCAGCGTGAAACAAGTGTCCTACATACCATGAATGTCTTTCCAAAGTTCAGCATCTTCCGCAAAGAGAAAAACGGCCTGATACTTGCTAGTATTTAGTTGACGTGGGAGAGAAAAAGGTTATGGAAAAATGTTGCACCTCAGAGTGAGCCACTCCGTGCCGACTTTCACTAAGGTGATGTCTCTATAACCGTGACTCTATGTTTTCGGCGATTAAGACGTCCTGTAGTCCTGTTCGCCGTTCTCTTATCAATTCCAACATTCTTCGACCCCACTGAAATTATTAACCGAAAGACTTCGACAGCAGCCTCACTGGCAAACGCGAAATCCATGGATACATTCCCGTCGTGAGATGCAACATCGTCTTCTCTTGCAAGAGTAGGGTTCATTAGGCGAGAGTGCCTAGTTAGAAAACCATCTTATTCATTAGCCAGGAACCTGTTCCCTTCAGCTTAACTAAGAAGTGCCCTGGGGGTGACCCCTTCTAATATCCGAACGACCATGATGGTCAACCCAACCAGAAAATGGATTGCCACCAGGCGTATTGGCCCAGTTTTGTAGACAAGGTTGTTGATGGCATCCTTCCAGTTCCTCGGTAATTCTGGACAGTTTAGCGGCAGATTCATGAACATCGACAACGGCTTGGTTACCATGCACGCCAGTAGCAACAATACATGCGGACGTAGACCATGTGAACCAGGTAACCCCAGGTTCGAGGTTGTGAAGTGATTGTGGTACATTTGCCTCAATGAGTAGTGGTTCCATCTTCAGTCACACTTGTGCAACGTTGCCAGGCATTTACCACAGTCATCCAAGAACATTTTATCAAAGTGTAATGAAAGTATTTCAGCGCCCTTAGCCTAACTCTCATCACTTTGTACCGCCAACATGACGCCGCTTCTTCTGGTTCTTCAGATGATGTAAGATAAAATTCACATATGACAATCGAGAAAATCTGCAACAAACTTATTGTCACATAGTTTCCAGATTTCGTGATAAATGCCTTATGGTAACTATTACATTCCCAATATTTGGTTTTACGCTACTCCAACGCAACAGGTAAAAACAGATTTCACAATCTTTTCCCTAGTCTGGGAGGTTTTTTCAGTTTTGCTTGCCAACACAGCGAGAAAAATCTATCCTCAATGGAGTATGGTTAAGGGGACTAGGTAAGATGTATCTACCCCTATTGTTTTCCTGAACCCGAATCATCCTTCATCAGTGAAGCAACCAGAACGAACCAGCCAGTCTGCAACGGCTGCATGTACCCCAGAAACCATGGTGTTCGCATTGCGCATATTCAAATAATGTTAAAAATGGATGGAGGTCGTATTACAGACTCTAAACCTGCAGAGTGCTACGTCGAGCACCGTACAGACATGTGAACAACAAGCTGAACGACGACGGGTCTTGTTCAGGAACACCACGTACATTTCCGGAAGTATACTGCATCCAGACATTGGGCACGTGCTGAGTTCAGCCCTCTTTCGGGCATATTACTAGATCCTGAAGGGGATAGTTCAACCCAACACTCTTGGGGCATATTAACGTCTTCGAAGATGAACCAGCTATCGCATTTGATCAAATTCTCATCATTAGTCGTCGAAATTCGCCAAAGCGGGCGAGTACGGCCGCTTGGTCGGCCGGGTTGGTACAATATAGGGTAGTAGCTTCCAAATCGATGCCTTCCAAACAGTTCAACATGACTGGTATTTAGACGTACTGGTCATTGACGCTGGTTTATGCACCGTTTGTTCACTCACTTTGGTTTGCTTCGTTTTTGTACTCTTGTTCTCAGTCATCAGCGTTGCCCAGTTTTCTGTGGGTAATACTTTGTTACTCAGGGTCACCGACCCATGATAGTCGTGTCGGAGTATCCTTGCTTCATGAAATCTCCACTGCAGTACTCGTGAAGCCATGGGAAATATGGACAACAGCAGAAACTATTTACCCTACTAACCCCACCGAATCACTGAAGCGCATGTGACATCTTGGGGATCTCATGAGGGAACCGCCGCACCCATAGGGGGAGACTACGGAATCTGTAGAAACCAAGACCACAATTATGGTGCTGGCCACAATGTCATCGTAGCGGACAGGGCGTTTCCCTATATCACACGCACAGACACTAAGTGGGAGTAAACGCGCTTTACGAAGCAATGAGGACGGTTCCGGACAACGTCAAGGAAACGTCTGAGACCGTAAAGGCAATCAGAATTTTCCCCTTGGGTATATAGATAATCATGTGTAGACGTACGGATGAAGCTTGAATGAAGAAATTTAAAAACACCTGTAGCGGCCAGAATCCAATAATCTTGGCCTGAACGCGGGAAATAGCTAGGCGGTGCCAACTGACGTGAATCTGACTAGTTCCTGCGTTCTACTGTATAGCTTCCTAACTTCCGCGAGTGACGCACAGTCAAAGGTTGGATCGAAATATCAAAACACGGTTTGTAGTAATTCAATAGTAGATTCGTAACAAAATCTGTGGTACTATCAAAGCAACAATAAGTTATGTCAAATTACAAAAATACCTCAACAGTGCCGTTGGGTAACTATACAGTCCAAAACGTTCTCGGGTACAAATACGTACTACACGGTAAAAACTGGTTAAAAAATACAACTGTTAAATACCTGTCGGTCAATAGGAATATTCCCGGCAAAAGGGATCAAAACTCTGCCTACAGGAATCAAATCAACAAACAAACGTTCCCAGTAGACAGTCAAAAGACAAACAGTCAAATCACTGCACAACCGTAAGTTGAACCAAAACAAAATGTCGTGCGCAGTAAAACAACATCACCTTATCAACAGTCCAGCGTCACATAATAGGAAAGTGAAACACTCATAATAAGTCTCAAACATACAAAGGCAAATACCGAGTGTAAAGTCAAATAAGACAGTTAAACAAGCAAATAACATTACACCGGCGAGGGTCAAAGGTACACCATCCATAACGAGGGTAAAAATGTTAAAATAA